ACAAGCCATATTTTGCAATATAGTTTGACAAATACATGGTTCATTCAACAAAATCTTCATCAGACGCTGCAGCTAAATACTGCAAGGTAAATATAATTAATTTTCAAAAAAATTTATTAGTATTAGCAATATTGTATTAAAAAATTAATATCTTTGAAGGGTCTTAAAGAGCTAAAAAATAAAGAAACTTTGTCAAGTGAAGATATTCAAGAAATAAATGCAAATACGATTAATAACATTGAGAATAAAAAGAAAGACATTCGAATGTCAGGTGTATAATTGTTTGGATTACAATTAAATTCTGTTCGTATAGTTAGAAAAACATTACCATCCAATACCTATCTTAAAGTTCAGCCCTTTAACAATCTCAGTAATTCTACTCAATGACGTCATATATTGACAATGGCCAAACGTGTATTTGATCAAGTTGAAATTTGTAAAGAAAACATTTTTCATAAAGATGACAAAGTTGAAATTAAGCAAGCACGTTTTATTATAAATGATAAGCCATTTGAAATTTAATATGGAAAAGTTAACCAAGAAAAGATTGATGATTTGCATTTGGCGGTTCTAAAATCATTAGATAAAGGCAAGATATCTCGTGAAGCTTATTGATCATTAGCACATATTAATCAAGATTTGCTAAGAGATGGTGCAATATCAAGTATACGTCAAAGACTTAATAAACAAATGCAAAATCTAGTTCCCTTATCACTTACAAATGTAGAAGAAGCATCTGTTGCTTCTGAATTAATTGAAGATCAACCTCATATTACTGATCCTGATATAGTTAATAATGTAGTTGAATCTGCTGAAAAAGGTGAACAGCATTTTATAATTGATATATTAAATTTTATTGTACCTGAGTATATAAAAAAAAGACTTTTAATTCCAAATAATACTACTATTAAACTTCATATATCTGGAGATGGTAGGAATGTAGGACGAAAGGTTCAGCATGTTATGGTAACGGCTATAATACTTAATGATATAGATAGACTACATAAGCCTGAAGGGTATTATACACTTGTTCTTTACTCTGGATCAAAAAATTATCAATCCCTTCAAAATGCACTTTGCACATTAATTTTTGATTTAAACAATTTAAGAGAATCTGGATTTTACCAACTTAACGGCTTGCATTGGAATGTGGAACTTTTTTTTAGCGCAGATTGGAAGTTTTTAGTTACCTGTTTAGGATTTAATTCTGCAAATGCAAATCATTTTTGTCTATGGTGTACATGTATGAAACAGCAAAATGGAATTCTCGATCAAAATAATAAACTAGTTGGCGATTGAACAATTACCAAAAATATGGAACAAATAAAAAAAATTTTTTTTAACATTAGAGGGCATCAACGTGCACCCTTATTTGATATGATTGATCTTAAAAATTGGGTGTGTGACAAGCTACATGTAATGCTTCGCATTACAGATCGACTTTTTGAACTATTTTTATCTGATTTGCAACGAAATGGAGAGTTAGATAATAAGATTTAGCAAGAAATATTAGTAGAAATGAAATGAATTGGTATAACATTTCAATTTTGAACAGATAAAAATACTAAAAAATTATGTAATACGTCTTTGATGGGTCCAGACAAACTTAAACTCTTATATAATTTTAATTTTAAGAATATTAGTATTTGTTATTTACCAACAGTTAGACAAAATCAACTTAGAAAACTCTGAAATGGATTCGCTGAATTATATAATGATATGCATCAAAAAAAAATAAGCGTTAGTAGTTTTAAAAAAAAAGCAATTGAATGGTTAGAATATTTTTTAACTCCATCTTAAGGATGTCCAAATAAAAATTTTGTGCAAGGACTATATCAAGCAACAGATTGTACTCTGTATATGCACGTTTTAACCTATCATATTTCTGAATTTATTGAGATTCATAGAGATTTAGGATTAATGGCTTTTTCATATTCAGCTTTAGAGAAAAAAAACTATATTCAAGTATGTCGATATTTTCAAAATACATTAAAAGATGGTGGACATGATCGGTCTAGAAAATCAGCAATTCTAGAAATATTAGAACACGAAAATCGGCAATTATTTTATTGGCAAGCAAATGTTTCTAGTTATATTAAAAAAGCTACACAATACCGATTAGAATAACATTTGTTGAAATTAGAAATATTTGTAAAGTCAATTAAAAATGACATTTTGAAAAAAAATGCTAATAGAATTAGTAAGTATTAATTAGAATTGAAGCTAAAAAGATAAATATATATATATTAATTTGTTAAATTTTTTTTTAAAATAGGGTATCGCTATGAGTTAAAATGTAAAGCATTATTGTTAGTGGCTAGTTTAGAGGTTAGGGTGATATTAAAGGTTAGAATAGGTTGGTTAAATTTTAGATTAATTGTATTTGCGTAGAAGTATATTGGGTGATAATGTTCTTCTGAGGAATTTAATTAAATTGGAAAGTTTAGGTATTGAAAATACTGACATCAATAGCGGATTGGAGTATTTACCCGTTAGTGTTGAAGATTTTTGGTGTTCAGTAAGCAAAAAAAAAGATGCAAATGCCAAACCTTTACATAATATAAAGTAATAGATGAATAAATCGATTATTATGGCTTGTAACTGCATGATTTTTGTGACAATGATCGGGAAAAATTTCTGATCGATTAGTTATGTTTATATTTCTTTGAACGGCTATCTTTTTGCAAAGTGCAATAAATATTTATATGCGTTATATGATCGTGGAGAAATTCCTCCCGGTTAAGATTAGATTTTCATCTTGAATATTATACTTAGATTAATGAATTTTTAACTTGTAAACTCCAATGCTTAATTGAAATCACATTTTTTTTAAGAATGATATCTAATGCAATTTTGGTAAATGTTATCAGTACTTTTGCAGATAAGCAAGTATTGTATATTGTTTTTAATACTTTAAAAAAAAAAAAAATTAAACATATCAAAGTGATTAATTATAACGGTTGAATTTGATCTATCATTATTGTTTAAATTCCTACTACACCAATTTATTGAAATAGTAATAACAGATTTAACAATTAAATTTTCTATCTAATTCTGTTTCAATAATAATAACTAGTGAATTTCATTTCTTCATTTTAGCTGATTTCAAATTTATTTTAACTTGGATTCCAAAATAATAATCATAAGATTTTCTTCTTGATAATATACAAATACATTATTTTTGACCAAATACTGTACTAACTTTAATTCCATATTCATAACAATAACCAAGCAAGAATATTTTGAGAATCAATAAAGTTCAGTTGATTCGACTTGAGTAATATCTTCTAACGTGTTAATGCTTTCTGTAATTAATGCAAAAAATTACATATTATGTAAGAATTTGTTTATTTAAAGTAGTGATTTGAATCGGTTGGGCTATAATCGGTTAATCGTTCGAACTGAATAAATTTCAGTTAACCGGTTGAGGAAATTCTTAATTGGTTGACCCAATACAACCGGTTGAGAATTGGGTAATCGGTTGGCAGAATCGATATAATATGAAAATGACGTAAGGAGAGAGTAAAGAGTCCGAAAAGTTCCAAAAAGAAAATGAATGAACATAAAGACAAAACAAAAATTTGAATAAAGCACCGAGAATTTCTGATGGTAGTAGATAGTTAATCTTAACTAGTTGGCAATCGGTTGAATGAAATAATTCGGTTCGGTTAACCGATTAAGGAAATTTTTCTCGGCTCAAATCACTAATTTAAAATATTAAGCGTAATATCGTACAGCACAGACTAGTACCACTATATCAAAGTCCCTCCTCAAAAAAATTATATGGTTGAATATAAAGTACCGGCCTATGTAAAAAACTTAGTATAGTATCTGGGTACTAACTTAGATTTTGCTTGTGGAATGTATCGTATTCAGGGTACTATAGTTTGCGCTGACAGTAAATATATTTGAATAAATACTGTAATATTTTCTAAGATGTCGCACTATGACATTACATATACTTAAATAATTTACCTTATGAAAATATAAACGGTTTAATAAAGTTAAGCGTGATTTGTATAATCGTAATTATTCTTGGTTCTTTAATTTAGATCGTGCTTCTATATACAATATATAAATATGAATTTTACTTTTTAATATTAACAAGTTTATAGTTTCTATATAATAAAAATATACTACCTTCAAAAATTGTTGGACTTTAGCACATATTTTACTCACAAGTCAAAAAGTTTATTAATATAAATTCAATTACGTATAAAATTGATAATCATAAAAATGCTAATCAATATTTGGACCCCAAAATTTTGGGGTTACTCAAAAGTGATGAACTAAACACGCTGATATGAATACTCCTATCAACTCACCTCATAATACTAAAAACAATCTATCATTTGACTGGCTTGCTAACTTTCCAGTTTCGGAAGAAATGGAACAACACACACAACTACAAACTGAAATTGGCAGGAAAATATTTAATCACCTTAAAACACACCTTTTTGACTTTTACCCAGACAAAAAAATCCGTGCAGCAACTCCTACCCGAAAAGCTCTTAAAGCTAGTTTTATTATATCATCTATAAGATGGCTGGAGAAAGACCACAATTTCTTATAGAATTTATTCAACAACAAAATCCTAATACTGACAAAGCCCTTACGATTCTATTTGACATCTTAGAAGAAACCTTTAAAAAACTTACCCTCACTTTTACTACAGTTTTTTTTACCAAATTAAATTACCCAAAACTCTTTTCATCCTCTGCAACAATACCTCCTTACAAAAACCAAAACAGATTACAATTTTGTATTAACTTAGCTTGCCTTCACCTATATCTATCAAACAACTACCAATCAATTAACTACATTAAATTCGCTGAGGATTTTAAATTTAGACCTAAAAGATTTAAAATATTATCTGTTATAACTAGTTATGACAAAGACCAAAAATATCTTCAGATTAAATCTGATGCCAAATTCAATATTCATCTTGAATTTAATATCCTAAAAAACCTCTTTAATGAGAAATACAACATTCTATCTTTAAAAAACTCACTCGAACATTTTAATAACTGGTTTGAACACATCTTTTCACAATATAGCTGCCAATTTGAACAGCCAATTGACAAAACCAAAGTTTATAACTCTCTACGATACTAATTCTATCAGTGTTTCATTCAACATCTTAAAGAACTTCTATCCATAACTTTAGATTTTCAGAAACCTAACAGCTCTATACAACACCGTAATGAAACTACTAAATATGCAAATCATCACATCCTCACATGCAAAGATACCTCTTGTCCTTTTGCTGAGACTATCAGCAACAAGGATAAAGCTAAAGAAACAGATAGTAAAAACCAAAACCCTCCAAAACCTCAATATAGACATAACTACAACCAATTATTCAAGGCTCTTCTTGAAAGATCCTATATTACCTACCCCAAACAGGAGAATGAAGACCTTACATTTAATCCATCAATTTTTCATATTGATGGTAAACATGAAGCAACTTTTACGAGACAAATTCCAACTAAACTACTTGACAAGTTAGCTACTTCAGCTGAGGAAGCTGCTCGTTCACCAAATACGCCAAAATCAGTCAACCACAAACTCCGCAGTTATTACTTTTACCTATACCTCTCTGTATACCAAAAAATAGCAGCACAAAATCATAACTTAGCACAACTTAATCGACAACAAGCTATTGACGCTATTACTCTTAAACCTATCAGCACCGAACTCTTAGCTAGAGTCATAACTTATTATGATTCTAGAGATCAAAAACTAAACTATTCACAAATAGCACAATACTTTAGAGAAACAGCTTACCCAGAAGCTGAACAACTTCTCACAAAAAAATTCAATATGCACTATACCACACCACCTACTATTGAGGAAACTTTATTCTTCAATGAATCTCAATCTCCTTTTCAATAAAGTTGCCTTTTACAAAACACATGGATGCAACCGCCGCTTTACCAAAAGATACATTCATAGTAGTTGGTAAAGAGAATGATGTAAGTAAGCAGGCGGGAAAGCCTATTTACCTGGATTCCTAGGTTTATGACGGCCAGACTCAACATACAGAGCAGGCTACAGGTAATCTGGAAACCGTGCGAGCTGGGTATACGGTGAGCGACCTTGTAAAAGACAATTATAACAAGTCACTATCAATATCATTCACCTCCTGTGACTTGCCAAATAATCAATTACCTAAATCTAACTTCATCCTACATACTTGTTATAACAAATACCTATCTAGTCAGCTTCTACCTCCACTACTACATCCTCAAACTATAGAATCATTCTTTGCATATATTAATGAAATCAAACATACATCT